GCTCTGCCCTGGCCCCAAGATACTGCCCTTGCCCTCTGTCTAAGGTTGTCTCCGTATCTGCTTTCTTCTCTGCCCCCTGGATGTCAGCACTTCCTCGTGGCTCTGCACCCTCTCTTAGCTTCTCCCCAGTCTTGCAGGGAGTGCCACTGAGGGCCAGCCTGCCAGGGTAGCCCCTCTTTACAGAGAGAAAAAGTGAGGGTTACGGAGGCAGATCATGCTGGAAGCGGCAGGCTCTGTTACTTCTGGGGAGGACTGGCCCATGTTTCCTGACGGTTCTGGGACCTGGGGCTCCCCACCCAGCTGTATCCTGAACCTGTGCCCCAACAGGGAAGCCCCCTTATCAGAGGACTCCTCCATGGCCAGCTCAGGGAAAACGCTTCTTTACCTAAGCAAAAACCAGAGCGAGCTAAGAAATAAAAAGGAAAAAAAGGCGATACAATAGGTTTTCTATTTGAATTCATTCCTTCTTACCTCAAACTTTTGAAAACACTCAAATGTATAAGCTCGGGTCTTTTTTTTAAACTTGAAAATGTTTGCGAAGCCAAGGGAAGCTGGTGTCTGTGCTGACTACCGTAGTCCATGGCTCATCCCTTCCTGGCTAACTGCCCCCTTGGTACCCTCCCAAAGTTATTCTAAGACCTAGGGGTCCTGCCTGATTGAGGCACATTGTCCTTAAAGGTCTCTGGCCCTTGTGTCAGTATCTCAACGTGGGTGCAGGGGATGACGTTTGGGGATGGGCATGGTGTGGGCATGGCCAGCATTGAGGATGTGCTCTTAGAAATGGCATTTTTCTTGGAGCTTCCAACTTACTTGCAGTAGATGAGCTACATCCTTACAGGAAAGGGGGAAATGTCAATAATTGATATTAATCGAGTACCTGTATGCCAGAGTTGTATTCTTTCACCATACTTATTCAATCTGTATGCTAAGCAAATAACCCGAGAAGATGGATTCTATGAAGAAAAATGTGGCATCAGGATTGGAGGAAGACTCATTAACAACATGCGTTATGCAGATGATACTATCTTGCTTGCTGAAAGTGAAGACATAAAATACTTACAGTCTTCATTATGGATTGCAATTCAATGTAAAGAAAACAAAAATCCTCACCACTGGACCGATAAGCAACGTTCTTATCAATGGAGACAAGATTGAAGTTGTCAAAGACGTCATTTTGCTTGGATCAACTATCAACACTCATAGAAGCAGCAGACAAGAAATCAAACGACGTATTGCATTGCAGATGGGCTGCATAAACGCTCTTTAAGGTGTTGAAGAGCAAAGATGTCAGTTTGAGGACTAAGGTGTGCCTGACCCAAGTCATGTATTTTCAGTAACCTCGTATGCATGTGAAAGATGGACAGTGAATAAGGAAGATCGTAGAAGAATTGATGCTTTTGACTTAGGGTGTTGAAGGAGAATATTGAAAGTGCCATGGGCTGTCAAAAGAACAAACCAATGTGTATTGGAAGAAGTACAGCCAGAGGGCTCCTTGGAAACCAGAATGGCCAAACTTCATCTCTCATGCCTCGGACATATTATCAGGAGGAACCAGTCACTGGAAAAGGCTGTTGTGTTTGGTAAAGTGGAGGGTCAAAGAAAAAGAGAAAGATCTTCAATGAGCTGGCACAGTGGCAGCAGCAGTAGACTCAGGCTTAGTAACAATTGTGAGATTGGCCCAGGACCAGGCAGTGTTTTGTTCTGTTGTGCATAGGGTCACTATGAGTTGGTGCTTACTCGATGGCACCTAACAACAACAACACTACTATTCATGATCTCATTCTCTGCACTGTTATTATTGTTAGGTGCTATCAAGTTGCCTCTGACTCATGGCCATCTCACGCATTACACGAAACTTTGCCTGGTCCTGTGCTGTCTTCACGATTGTGACGTGTCTGGATCCACTGAGACAGCTGTTGTGTCCATCTTATTTAGGGTTTCCCTCATATTCGTTGATCCTCAACTTTGCCAAACACGATGTCCTTTTGTAGTGGTTGGTCTTTCTAAAGTAAGCAAGCCAAAGTCTTGCCATCCCCTTTTATGAGGTGCATTCTGGTTGTATTTCTTCTAAGACTGCTTTGTTCAGTCTTCTGACAGTCCCCAGTATATTCAGTATTATACATCTATTCTTTTTTTGTTGCTGTTTTTTTTTGTTTTTAACTTTTTATTGTGAATTGATTGAAGATTTACAGAGAAGATACCAGTTTTACATTCAGCAAACCACACACTTTGTTTCATCTCAATGATTGCAATCCCCTCCCTGCAACAACAGTTATCCCACTTCCTCCCTGCAGTGACTGTTTCCCTTCCACCCTCCTTTCCATCCATCCCTTCTCAACGTTGTCCTTAGGTAAATGTTGCCCTTTTGATCTTGAATGATTGACCATTCCATGGTGAGCATACATTACTAATGTTGTTCCCCCTACATACTTATGTGGACTTCTGGTTTGGCACTACAGGATCAGCAGTGAACTGCGAACCACAAGGTTGGTAGTTCAAACCCACCAGCTGCTCCTCAGAAACCTTATACAGGGTTGCTATGAGTCGAAACCGATTTGACAGCACTTAACAACAACAATATATACTATATCTATTGTTTGGGTGATAATTGGGCCAGGAGGGTGAGTTCCATTCAAGATCTGAAGAGTGGTCGAGGGCCACTCTCAGCTTATTCCAGTCTCTTTCTGATTAGGGAGCCTGATGGTTTTAAAAATAATTTTGAGTTTTGTTCCACATTCTATCTGTCACTCTATCCAGGACTTCTAATGTGATTCCTTTCAGAGCAGTTGGTAATGGTAGCCGGGCACCATCTAGTTCTTCTGGTCTCAGAGCCATGGTGACTGTTCATCTGCTTCGTTGATCTATTGGACTAGTTGATTCCAAGCATCTTAAATTTTCATCACTTTTCTTTCTTCCTTTCGTACATGGAGATGGTCTCTCGTGAGCTTTTAAGATCTCAGACACTGCTCGCTAAAGTGGAACATTGTCTTTGTGGACTGTGTTATGCCATTTGACCCTGGTGTCTCCGAGACTATGGTCCTGAGCCCCAGGCTCAGCAACTCATTGCCTTAAGATGTTTGATCATATCTAAGAAGTTTTTATTTATTTTTTTAAAATTAGAAAATCATTTTGCCCCCGTATGCTCTACCACATTCATAGGTATGTTTGCAGCAAAAGTGAATTCTCATGTACAGGTATCCTCTTTCAAACCCTTACATATTTATGGGTGTACTCCCACTCTCCCTCCTATACCTGTTTAGGTTGTGTATCTGTCCATGCAACTGCCCATAGAACACTGTTGCTCCACGGTTGTGTATATAGCACTATTTACCTCTAGTCCCCTTAACCCTTGTTTACGTACTTCCCTGTGTTCATTTTTCTTCTGCCAACCTCCCTCTTATATTGGCCTCGCGTGACCCTAGCTAACATGTAACTGCCCTCTAGCCATTGAACGCCTCTCGTTCCCTCCCACCCCTGGTAACCATCAAAGAATGTTTCTTTCAGCAGGTACATCAATTCTTTAATCTTACCTTTTTGTTGCTCAATTTTCCCATGCCTATGAGGTGACTGAAAAGACAGACCATCGGTGGCTTGGGTCAGGTGCACCTTAGTCCTCAATGTGTGTATGACATGTTTGATTTTGAAAAACTTTAAAGCGGTCTTTGGTGGCAGATTTGTTTGGTTTCTTGGCTGCTATTTCTGTGGGTGTTGATAGTTGATCCAAGTAGAATAAAATCCTAGACAACTTCAGTTTTTTCTCATTGTCTTATGTTATTCAAACCTCGTTGGGGTCAAATGAGGTGGGGTTATTATCACACTCATTGTACAGATGGGGAAATGGAGGGTTGAGAGGTTTGGCAACTCGCCCTAGTCACCCAGTTACTGAGAGCTGGAGCCAGGATTTAATCCCAGAGTCTGACTTGCTTAACTTCCCGAGCTGTTAAAAGGAGAGATTAGGAGGTGCCAGACCAGGAGGGCTATGGGGCTCAGGAACCCAGAGGGGACAGGTGCTAGTCCTGGAGTCCCATACTGGCCAGTGGGTGCCAAGGTAGGCTGTGTGAGGTTGCCTATGGGTGTCAGGCATGTTGTAACGAGGGACACGTTGGAACCCCCGGCATGCCCATAGTGCCAGTCACCTGCCTCCCAGGCCTGCAGCTGTCGAGGGTGGACTTAATTAGCCTGCCAGTGGTCTGGCGGAACGCCAGGCTCTTTGGGCTCAGTCCATGTGGGCGTGCTCTACTGGCTGGTTGGGATTCCGAGGCTCTCATTGAGCCTCCCACTGCCTACTGTCCATGGCTAGGACTTGCTCTCTCCTCCGTTCTCCCTGACTTTTATCAAGGGCTCCTGGCTCAAATCCCAGAGGAGCAGTACTGCCTCAGGGTACCCCCAGGGAAGGGCAGTTAGTGACTAGAGAGCTATCCCCTGCTGACCAAGGGGTTCCAGAGGTCCTGAAGCTGTCACTGTCATCTCCAATTCTTGAACAGTGGTGGCTACACAAGGCCAGCCTCTTGTGTGATTTTCTGGTTCATACCCCAAGGGTTCACAGACTATGTCCCTGTACCTCTTAGCTCAGCTGTCATTGGTGAGCCTGGCCAGTGCCGTCATAGGCACAGGAGGTGAAAGTGCAATGGGAACCCTGGTACCTGGGCCACTGCCTTGTCACCTGGTGGCTTTACCAAAGGCCTCAGCTGTCATTCCTTCCCAGCCAGAGCAAGGTCCTTTCCAGGGGCCAGCCTGGTCTGTGGCTGGGGGGAGAGGGTCCTCTCTTCTGCACGTTCTGCATCCATAGAACTGGGTTCCCAGGACTCTTCACCTGGCCTGTCGTGTTTCACCCATCCCTGGTGAACTCGCCATCTAGAAAGAAACCAAACATTCCTTTTCCTTCCTTTGGGGACCCTCAAGTCCTTTCCCCAAGGGACCATGTCCCCTCCCCTGGGCTGTCAGGCATGCAGCAGTGACATCCTTCGCACAGAGGCTCCATTCTGCCTTCTCTGCCCTAGGATCATGCGGCCGGATGACGCCAACGTTGCGGGCAATGTCCATGGAGGGACCATCCTGAAGATGATTGAGGAGGCAGGGGCCATCATCAGCACCCGTCACTGTAACAGCCAGAATGGGGTAAGTGAGGTCACGCTCTGACTCCAGGAGGCCTGGAGGAACTCCCCATGGGTCCGGTGCCTGCATTAGCCTGAAAGGCCCTGGCCTTGGGGGCTCCTGGAAGTTCTGGCCCAGTCAGACCCTGGACAGACTCCTTTGGTGGACATGAGGAGGGGGTGGGAGACCACTGGAGACTAAACTGAGAGCCAGCCTGCGCTGCCTTCTCCCCACTACTTCCCTCCATTTGGGGAGGGTTTTACACTCTGGAATCTCGTGTCTTGAGGCCCCAAACCCACTGCCATCGAGTTAGTTCCAACTCTTAGTGACTGCGTGGCTCCACCTCTGCCCCATCTGCAAACCTTGGACCAGTGCCTTCCTTGTTTGGTATGCTTAGCTGTAAGGCCCAGCATGCCCTGGCTCAATATAGTGCCCATGATGGCATCAGTGATGGTGTGCACTCTCTACCCAGAGTCATAGCTGGCATGGGTGTGGTGGGGTGCGGTGGGTAGCTTTCTGTTTTCAGAAGTTCAGGGTTTGTTGCGTGGCTGTTACCCATCATCTCCTGCTACCCCATCCCTGTGACTTCTGAAGGACATATGGAGAGAGTGCTTGGGTCTAGGAAATGGATCATCTGGCCTCTGTGTACCAGTGGGTCTCAGTTAACTCATCACTGAGATTACTGTCTTCTGGGCTGAGAGGAGGAAACTCTGATCCCAGCGTAGAATACATGACGTGTGTGTGTGTGTGTGTGTGTGTGTGTGTATTGAATGACGCAAACCCAGTCAGTATGTATGGCTGAATGTGGGTGTGGGGTCTTGAATGGTGGAGTTAGACTGGGACTACCCTGTGAAGGAAACCCTGTACAGTCCACCACCACCCTGTAAAGGAGGGACTTGCTTGCCAAGCTAGGAGAATGACCTTTATTTTAGTAGAAAGGTGGTGTCTTTGTTCAGAAAGTGCCCTCTGGTGGCTGTGGGGAGAACGGGCCAGAGCCCACAAGGTAGTGCTAGTCAGGCCACTGGGGTGGGGTAGGTAAGCAGGCCCCCTGAGATCCTCCAAAAGAAGGATGACCAAGGTCCAGTCCAGCCTGGCAAGGAAGGATGGACATGATAGGTAATGGGAAGGACAAATCCCAGAGCTGGGGAGTGTGGGAGGAGTAGGGATATGGGAGATGAGTGAAGGACCCTTAGATTGTTAATCTAAGCACAATTTCTGACCTTTAATAACTACTTAGGATAAGCACCGGACTGCTAACCCAAGATTGGCAGTTCAAACACACCCACGGGAGAAAGATGAGATTTTCTGCTCCTGTAAAGAATTAGAAGTCTTGGAAACCCTATATACAGTGACTGTGAGTCCGACTTGACTCCATGGCAGTTGTTGTTGTTGTTAGGTGGTTCTGGCTCATAGCGATCCTAAGCACATCAAAATGAAACAGTGTCTGGTCCTTCCTCAGCCTCACAATTGTTGTGAGGCTTGAGCCCATTGCTGCTACCACTGTGTCAATCCATCTCATTAGGGGTCTTTCTCTTTATCACTGACCGTGCACTTTACCAAGCATGACTTCCTTCTCGACATGCTGGTTTCTAACGCACATTCTGGCTGTATTTCTTCCAACACAGATTTCTGTGTTCTTCTGGCAGTCCATGGTACTTTCAGTATTCTTCTCTAACACCATAATTCAAATGCATTTATTCTTCTATGATCTTCCTTATTCATTGTCTAACTTTCATATGCATATGAGGAGATTGAAAATCCCATGGCTTGGGTTAGAAGCATTACCTGTCAAACAGATGTCTTTGCTCTCGAACACTTTAAAGAGCTCTTTTGCAGCAGATTTGATTGATGCAGTGTGTCGTTTGAATTCATGACTGCTGCTTCTGTGAGTGCTGATTGTTAATCTAAGCAGAGTGAAGTCTTTGACAACTTCAGTCTTTTCTCTATTAAGGTGTTATTTATTGGAAAAGTTCAATATTATCAGCCAAAACAAAGCCAAGGGTTGACTCTGGAACTGATCATCAATTGCTCATATGCAACTTCAGGATAAAGTTGAAGAAAATTAAATCAGGTCCACGAGAGCCAAAATATGACCTTGATTATATCCCACCTGAATTTAGAGTCGATCTCAAGAACAGATTTGATGCATTAGACACTAATGATCAAAGACCAGAAGAGTTGTGGAATGACGTCAAGAACATCATCCATGAAGAAAGCAAAAGGCCATTTAAAAAGACAGGAAAGAAAGAGAAGACCAGAATGGATGTCAGAAGAGACTCTGAAACTTACTCTTGAGCATAGAGAAGCTAAAGCAACTGGAAAAAATGAGACAGTAAAAGATATGGACTTAAATTTTCAAAGGGAAGCTCTAGAAAGCCAAGTAAAGTATAATAATGAAATGTGCAAAGACCTGAGTTAGAAAACCAAAAAGAAGACCATGCTTGGCATTTCTCAAGCTGAAAGAACTGAGGGGATTGTAATCACTGTAATGAAACAAAGTATACGATTTGATGAATATAAAACTGATGATTTGCTTTGTAAAACTTCACTCAATTCACAATAAAAAGTTTTCTGTTTTTAAAAAAAAAGAGAAATACACACTCATTGTACCAAAAAGATTTGGCCAGTGCCCAACCATTTCAAACAGTTTGTATATGATCAGTACCCATGGTACTGAAGAAATAAGTTCAGGCTTATTTCTGAAAGCTTTGGTTGAAAATAAGGCTCTAAGAATTAATGGAATACAAATTGAAATGTTTCCACAACTAATTCATCTCTAGAGGTGCTCACTCATCTATGCCAAGAAATTTGGGAAACAGCTACCTGGCCAACCAAGTAGAAGAGATCCATATTTGTGCCCATTCCAAAGATAGGTGACCCAACGGAAAGCAGAAATCATCAAACAATATCATTAATAACACATGCAAGTAGAATTTTGCTGAAAATAATTCAGAAATGGTTGCAGCAGTATATTGGCAGGGAGCTGCCAGAAGAGGATATGGAATGAAGAATGTCATTGCTGAAGTGGCAGGATATAAGATCAACATACAAAAATCAGTTGGATTTCTCTATACCAAAAATGACAGCATTGAAAAGGACATTAAGAAAGCAATACCATTTACAATAGCCACCCAAAGGATGAAATATCTAGGAATAAATGTAACCAGAGAAACAAAGGACTTATACAAAGAAAACTA